AAGTTATAATTATTGCTTCACCCTGTATTAAATCAATCTAGATTACATTACTTAAATTAACTTAAATTAAGGCGAGTTAAATTAATATACTTTTCTTTAAACTAGGACTAGAACTAGTCAGTCGTAAGGTTCATTAAATAATCATATAGCATAAACTAAAGTACTATATATAAACATAAAAAATCAAATAAGAATGAACAAATCTAACTTAAAACTAACTTCTAGCGTTTTATATCACAGAAGAAAGTGAGGAGCTGAACTAAAAGGTACTGAAATTTAAACTAAATAAAAGCGTAGCACCATCTTAATCAACGTACTTACATAGTAGAATAACATATCATAAAGAATATATAGCTTTCTTAATTAAGACATAACTAAACAAAAACATTGAACATAATACATAGATAATGAACATAATAATACAGTAAAAAATTGGCAATTGTATCCTAGAGCTTATTACAGAAGCGTACGCTGAGATCAAAACTTAAAGTATAACTTAAGATTAAAGTTTACGGAAGAGTTGAAACACAAGATCAAAGATTAATATTTATACCTCTAATAAAGTCATCAAAGTACCAAATCACCTCAGTCTCAATCCAACCAAGAATCGATTCCATGGGGATCGGGAGGAAACCGAAGTTTTTAACAATTCCTTTAATTAGAGAAAAGCGTTGGACATCGAAATGTGGGCACTGCCAGAAAACATGATTCATTTCCTCTATGACACCAAATAAAGGACACAGGGGAATCCACTATATCGAATCTAAATAGACTGCCCCTAAGACTAAAGTGGCCACTCCTGAGTCTTGCAATTGATACTATCGTTTTCCTATTTAACATCCGTTTATAGAACCATGGTTTTCTTCGGCGATTTAAATCCCATTAAAAGGAACCTCACAAAGGTAAACATACATACATACATACATACATTTTTTAGGAATATGATTTTTTGACGTTTTCGAACATTTTGAACACATTGGCATTTAAAATTTTTTTATATTTTTTTATTTCTATTGAACTTATTTTGAAAATCAGGTTCCTGTTAATAAAAATTTTTTTGAGACGCTGCCATTTTTTATTTTTCATTTTTTTAAATTCTAGGTCACGCGATAGCCACATTCATACAGATTAAGAATCTTTTTGGTTTTTTTATTTCAGATGACTATAACGGCTGTAATCATGTTTGCCACAAACAACAATTTTTTTTTAGACATCCTGGTTGGACTACTATAACTCCGAAACAAATAAATATTTTTGTTTGAAAAAAATTCAGGATATATTTGAAATGTTATTTGATAAACGTGCAAAGTTTAGAATTAATATGTTTTATACTTTTCTTTAAAAAAATTCGCCAAGAATTGCCTTAGTTTCAAAGCGTAAATCTAGGAAAACCCCTTAAAAACCAAAAGAAATGGTTGAAAATAGCGCTTAAAAGCGTAATAAACCCTTAAAGCGTATGAGTCAGCAAGGTGAATGTACTCAGCATAATTACCATTTTTTCATCTTTTTATATGTATCGGTGTTATTAACTGTGTAAATAAATCTCGCATATACATAATCATAGTTTCTTCCTGTTTTTCTATTTTCGCTCTTTATCTTTTTTCTTTTTCGTTATCTCTCTCTCCCTCTCTCTTTCTCCCGCTCCCTCTCTCTCTCTCTCTCTCTCTCTCTCTCTCTCTCTCTTTCTCTTTCGGAATATGTCGATTGATGTCGATATTGTTACATTCGTCGCTCTCTCACTTTCTCACACTCGCGCACACGCAATAAAAGGACACTTCCGTAAAAATGAGAACAACTTTATACACAGAAATATTATGTACAACAGGAATACAACATTCATTTATATTCGTAACCGAGAGTGACACGTCTTTCCAAGCCGAAAGCCCCGAAACAACCACCACAACCCAACTTCGTTTAACAAATCCCACTCGTTGTTAGGGAGAACGCCTTGCAGCTAATGTCTCGCCAAGCATCCAGCGCGAACATAACACCGAGCGTCCAGCGCGAACGTAACACTGCCCTCTTTCTTCAAGATTGAAGATTCTGGGTACCAAAAATGGTCTCTTGCCCTACCTCGAGCTGCTGCCACGACTTACCAGGCCCCATTTTTCCCCGATCTCCACCTACGATTTTTAGCAGCGCCAAGTTTTTTTAATTAAAATTTTTTTATATTTTTTTATTTCTATTGAACTTATTTTGAAAATCAGGTTCCTGTTAATAAAAATTTTTTTGAGACGCTGCCATTTTTTATTTTTCATTTTTTTAAATTCTAGGTCACGCGATAGCCACATTCATACAGATTAAGAATCTTTTTGGTTTTTTTATTTCAGATGACTATAACGGCTGTAATCATGTTTGCCACAAACAACAATTTTTTTTTAGACATCCTGGTTGGACTACTATAACTCCGAAACAAATAAATATTTTTGTTTGAAAAAAATTCAGGATATATTTGAAATGTTATTTGATAAACGTGCAAAGTTTAGAATTAATATGTTTTATACTTTTCTTTAAAAAAATTCGCCAAGAATTGCCTTAGTTTCAAAGCGTAAATCTAGGAAAACCCCTTAAAAACCAAAAGAAATGGTTGAAAATAGCGCTTAAAAGCGTAATAAACCCTTAAAGCGTATGAGTCAGCAAGGTGAATGTACTCAGCATAATTACCATTTTTTCATCTTTTTATATGTATCGGTGTTATTAACTGTGTAAATAAATCTCGCATATACATAATCATAGTTTCTTCCTGTTTTTCTATTTTCGCTCTTTATCTTTTTTCTTTTTCGTTATCTCTCTCTCCCTCTCTCTCTCTCCCGCTCCCTCTCTCTCTCTCTCTCTCTCTCTCTCTCTCTCTCTCTCTTTCTCTTTCGGAATATGTCGATTGATGTCGATATTGTTACATTCGTCGCTCTCTCACTTTCTCACACTCGCGCACACGCAATAAAAGGACACTTCCGTAAAAATGAGAACAACTTTATACACAGAAATATTATGTACAACAGGAATTTAACTTAAGCGGCCAACTTAAACATTTCAATCAATAAAAAAAGGGAAAGGCTAATTGGAGCCCGGACGCAATACTTAGAGCGTAATAAATGTGTGATGTTTTTAAAAAACAATGTTAATGAACATAATATAAATTAATAAATTAATAATATAAATTAATTAAACCAAACGTTTTGGCCCACTTCGGGTCCTTATCAATAAAAATAATCAAAATTTTAACACATAAAGAGACATCGTAAGGCGGAGTAATACATACAAAACGCAACAGTAGACTTCTAATAGTATTACGATACGCTTACAATATTATCGAGTGGTTCGCAGATGACAATATGACTATGACTATAAGTTTCCGCATAGGTCAGACTCACCCCATTTTCCCCGATCTCCACCTACGATTTTGGGACTACATTGCGGATTTTCTTGAAGATAGAGAGCTGGCCAGGCTTCCTTCTTCTTCAACTTCCGCACGCCCTCATAGGATTTCCGCTCTTCTTCAACGTGAATTTCCTCAATGTTAGTGCTGCTTCAACGCAATCTTGCAAGTCTTCGGACAAGGGGGGGGGGGGAACTTTCTGAGGACCCAACCCACACAGCACCGAAAGATTGCAGAAACGTTGCATAAACCTTGCATTGAAACATTGTAATATTGCATAGAAGTTGCGAAATGTTTCTGCAATGTTACTGCAAGCCTGTGGCAATGTTGAAATGTCCGCCCTTAGAAATATTATAATGTAAGATTACAGTAATGTTACGGTGCAATGTATTTGTAATATTGAAATGCGTTGCTACAAATATGCAGAACGCTTCAAATTTAATAGATGAACTATGAGAATATATAAAGACATTCAAAAGAGATAAGAAAAAAAGATTGTAAATTTACGCAATTACAATGAGTTTTTTCTCGTCTCTGTTGGATGTCTTTATATATTCTCAAAGTTTATCTATTAAATTTGAAGCATTTTGCATATTAAAAAATTATTATTAAATTTTTGCTTT